GCTTCCTTTGACTCTCCGATCAAACTCCAGTGGTGTTTGCAGCGACGTGGATTGGCTCTGGACCAGGCCAGGGTCATGTCGTGGGCCCAACACGAGCGGTGGGTTCATTGCTTGCTGCATGCGCTCACCAAGGAATGCCCTGCGGGTTTTCACAAACCAGACATGAATCGCATCGTTCAGGCAGACCGTGAGGCATGGCTGATCATGGCTTCTGAAGTTAAGTCGATTAAGGTCACTGCTGCCGGGGACTTTCCTTTGGGCTTGGCGCTCGACGCACTGCGAACGGACCCTCGGATCACCATGTATCTAATGGCCACGTGGGGCAGGGCGCCTGACGTCAAGCCTGTTGATGTGGATCACCCACCGCCGGCTCACAACAAGCCCGGCGAAGGCTTGTCTCGATCTGCCAAGCGCCGACGCCGGCTTAAAGCCGCAGCTGCTTCGAGAACTACCACGCCAACCGGCAAGGCCCCCTCGGCTGCTCGCACCATGCCTGCCGAGCTTAAGGATGCTCACCAGAAGGCCGAGGATGGCACGCCGATCTGTTGGGACCATAACTGCGGTGGATGCAAGAACAAGACCGAGGGCGACCCTCCCCGGTGCAATCGGGGGGTCCACATATGTGCCTACTGTCGCCGGGTCGGTCACTCCTTTCGCAACTGTCGTGCTCGAAGCTGGAAGGGTGCCGGTAAGGGCAAGGCCAAAACCGAGTGACTCGCTGTTCCTCTTTGTGGCCCTAGCACAGTCGAGGCGGCCGCAATTTCAGGTACAGGGCCACACGTGGCCGGATATTCGTTTGAGGCTGCCGTTTTTCACTTTGCTCCTAAGGTACAGACTGAGGTTGAGCGCTTGGCTGCCGACTGTTTGCGTGCCGGTTTTGTGAGTTTCGATTCGCTCATGTCCATGAGTGCTTTGCTTCCCGTCGATACAGTTCCGGGACCGTCAGGTAAACCTGTGGAGCCTCATGATCCAAGGGCCTTTACTTCGGGTGCCTTTGTGCACCTCAACGACACAGGACTACGATCCAATTTTCGGGTTTTTCCCATGTCAACCTCATTGCTTGCACGGGTTTTGGCTGCACAATTCCCGGGGCGCATGTTTTCCTCCGTCGGATTATTTTTCAACTTGAGAGCACCTGTTCACTCTGATGCCAACAACGACCATCGCCACCCTAACCTGCTTCTACCAGCGTCTTGCTTTGTCGACGGGCAGGTCTGGGTTGAAGGCAATGGTGCTGTGCCGTGCCCAGACCCACAGGTCCAACGGTGTGGTTACTTGCTGCCGGTGAACCAGGGGCCACAGCTCCTCCCATCGGAGCGTCTTCATGCCACCTGTGACTGGCGTGGCACGCGCCTCCTTGTCGTCGGGTTTTGCATTCGTGATTCTTCGACTTTGACTCAGGAGCACCGCCGTCGACTTTGCGAGGCTGGTTTTCGTCTACCCAGCCGCGATTGCCATGGTGATGCACGTCCTGCCTCCATCGAGCACAGCGACGGCCACTTAACGCCTTCGGTTCCTAGGCCTCCCCCCGCCCCTTCGGTTGACCCTAGTGCCTGCCCTGGTTCCTCTGCTGCTGAATCTTGTTCGGTGCGATCCCATCGAGAGGCAACTCGGTCACCGCCTCGGGTTGTCAAGCCACCGCCTCACCCTCTGGGTGCCCCTAAGACCTGCCCCGTCGCACATGCAGTGGGCCCAGGCCCTGCGTCTCGGCCGCGAGTTGCTTATCGATTGCCAGTCCCGGCAACTCAGGTCACGACATCCGCTACGGTTGGGGCTCACTCTTCTACTTCTACGGCTACGACCAACCGTGTCTTCCCTGACCAGGTCGCGCCTTTGGTGTTGGAGATTTTCGCCGGCACGGCACGCCTCAGTTCTGCGTGTCAACGGCTTGGTTTTCGCACTTTGGCAATTGACAGGGCATCTGCGCAAAGTCGGTTTCCCATACAGCCGCTTGACCTCACCGTTGATGACGACCTGGCCATGCTCCTGGACATCATTCGCCTGGAGTCTGCCAACATTGCTTGGATTCACTGTGCTCCTCCTTGTGGAACCGCATCTGCGGCTCGAACGCGCCCGCTTCCTGGGGTCGA